CTGGACCGGGCCGCTTGGCGCCGCAGGGCCTCCGGCGCGGCGGCGGCGGAGCGGGTGGTGGCCCTTGAGCTCCCCTTAGTGTCGGGAAGGAGCATTTTTAATAAATACGCGTTGTGCGTGGAGGTGGCCGTAGCGTGTCCCGATAGTCAGCGCCGCTGGTTGTGGGGCTCATCCGTAGGTCCCGCCGGTGGCACCCCCGGTATCCGTATGTCCAGCCATTGTCCTGCTGGGAAACGTTTATCTGACACAAGACATCAAGATAATTTAGGCCTGGCTGTCCCCATGCTAGGTTTTTTTTCAGTGATTCGGCAAGAAATCAGGTGGTGTTTTTTTTTTTTTCTTTTTCTTTTTGGAGTTAAATAAGCGCTTTTCTTCCCTCTGCCAAAACACGACGTAGCAGGGAGTGTGACAATTTATATCACGTGAGGAGGTGCCGCAGACATCTGTCATTTGAGTTAAAAGTGTGGAATTTAGTGTGAATTTCTGAATCTGCTAAAGTGGGACATCAAAATTTTATTTCTGGCACATGGACTCCTGGCTCACGCAGAAAGCGAGCCTGCAGCCTCACTGCCCCCACAACTCCTTCAGCTTACCTACCTCTGTGGGAACTGGGAAGAATTTCTTCCTACTTTGATTACCTTAGTGGCTTCTTTCTAGTTTCACCCAGGTTTGAACAGAAGAGGATCAGATGTAAATTGTGCTGCCACCAGCTAGCATTCTCTGCTCTTTATTCACAGCTGGGCCCCGCTTCTCCAAGAGGATCCATCAGGACTGACACAGTCAGGGAGTGTGAAACCACGAGTGACCCGGCCATGGTGATCCCCTCCATTGGATGCTATTTCTTGCACATGGCACACCATGGCTCAGTTCTTCTCTCGCAGCTCAGACAAGCTCTGCTTTACCAGCAGAAATGATTGTATTTCTAATTCTTGTGTGAGCTTTGTGCCCACAGCTGGCTGGCCTTCCCTCTCTGGACTGGGCATAGGGAGTGGTTTTATGAAGGCCACGTTTGTTTTCCTGACAAGCTCTGGTTTTGCCAGAATGGTAATATTAACACAGGTCCTGAGACCACTGTTACCCTTCCCAGACCAGAATGAACTATACCGGTGTAAGCATTTCTCTACTGGTTCCTGCATCCCCACTGAATGGAGGAGACTATGCCAGTGCTGCCAGGCAGCTGCATGTTCTGGCCCGTTCCCCTTTAGCAGTGGCTTTCCCAGCCCCTGTAGCTGTCACTCTGGCTGTGTGCCTGCCTGAGCCACCGCGAGCCCTTCCCCTTCCTCCTTTAGTCCTTGCAAGACAAATGCCATTTTGTGTACTTGGCACTGAACTCTTCAGTGTTGTCACGGACTCTCCTGGAGTGATATGAAATCCCTCTGACTCCAGGTTTTGTAGATTTTTACATCTGCACTGCAGGGTGAAGAAGTGGCAGGGGAGTAGGATAAGTACATCATGCTCTGGTTTCTGGCCACAGTATTGAACAGTAGCTTGGGTTCAACCTGTTCCTGCTCACTTAGGAGCAGATGAGCTGGACTATGATGTCTTTTGCCCTGGGCATGCAGATCTAACCCCCGGTGTCCTGACCTTAATCCTGTCACAACTGTTATTTTCTGGATGCCCATTCTCCAAAAAGATTTATGGGGAGTTTAAGTACAGCCAAAGGGTCACCCCTTTTGTGACTTTCCCTTCAGTGGCAGTTTTGCCTGATGAAAAAATCACAAGTCTCAGCATTTAGCCTGAAAAATGGAGAGGAACACACCCCATTAGCAAGGAAAGTGAGAAAAAAGCAGTGTACGTACCACATAGTGATGAATCAAGGCAAGAACACAGCTTGTAAATCCTTTATTTCCTAAGAGTGGAAATGCTTCATTTACATGTTGCCACACAAACAAAGACAAAGGAAATCCGTGCAGGCTCAGCACTCTCTGTGGGAGCCTTGGGAAAGCCATGTAAGCCCAAGCGCTGGCACTCAGCATGCTGTTAGTGCTGGTGGGGCTCCCTACCAGAACAGAAAGCTTTTGTCTCTTCTTGTGCAGATGAGCCACTGTCTGCTTCCACCAGCTCTGAAATAGTTGTTATTCATCAGGTTTCACCACTGGTTTGTGGCAGGTGCTCCTTGCCTCCTCTAAACCAGAGCCAAGACTGATAAGTGTCTCTCTTCATTTTTCTGCTGTCAAAGGCATCAGAGTGGGTAGCGGAAAACTCTTTGGATTTTCCAGACTTCTTTCCTGAGGCCTGAGACCCCATAACAAACATTTGCTCTGGTTCAAAATGGTGATGAGCGTTGTAGACTGCGCTGTTGCACCCTGCACACTGCTGGATCTTCTCACTCACACTGGCCCTGAATGCCCTGTCACCTCCTGCTTGTTTTTTCCACATATATCTGGATTTCTAAGCACTAAAACCAAGTTTCAAAGCTGTGTAGACAGATGCAATTATGACTCACATTAAGGCAGAGATGTGGGGTCAATTACATGTTTTTCATTTGGTTTCATTTTGGTTTGCAAACCAAATGTCTGCAAGCATGTTGTTGTGGTGTGCCCAGCTACATGTACACAGACTGCTTGTCACCTGCTGAATCCCTGTGCTGGTGGAAAAGGCAAGACTTAGGCCTTAAGAAAGAGAAGCCTTTCAGCTGTTATCTCAGACATATGTAAGACTTTCGGTTAAGGTAGAAGCCTTTGGTTTGAAGTCCTTATTTTTACTCTGGAAGTTTAATTAGCTGATACTTTCCCCATTATTACTTTTAGTTGTCATCCCTTTGCTTTACTGGAGCATCTAATTTCTAAAGGTATGGAACACTTAGTTTTATACACCCCATAAAGCATATTGCTCCCAGGGACAGGTTAGGAAACACTGACAGAGAAGGAAGGGGACTTGGCCAAGGTCAAAACCAAGGTCTCTGCTAAATCATGATAGTACAGCACCTAGATCCCAGGCACTTATTTTGGCACTTTAACCTGTGATCAGCATCCTTTTTGGAGAACATTTATATTTGCATGCCAGAGAGATCACGTGATGATTTCTGAGCATCCTCTGTCTTGGGTGTATGCACATCACTGGGGGTTTTAGGCTCAGATTCCCAACTGTACTGTGGTGAAGATGGACTAGCCAGCTCAATTGCAGTAACTGCCCATTTCTGCACACTGATCCTGTTCTCTCTTACTGCACTAAGCTAAACGGGACCATCTCTCCTCCCCTGTGGACTTAGAGGGTCACACACGTGTGAACTACTGGAGATGAGCTGATGTCAGGTAACTGAAAAAGCTGTGAACTGGCTCATGTGCCTCAGCTCCGCCTGTTTTGTGACAATGGAGATGTTTCAGGTTACCTGTGGGTCTTGCAACTGTTATCAATTTATTGAAAATTCAACTTTCTCTGTCAATATTTTTGTGACCTGGTAAAGAGACTGAAGAAAGTGGGTTCGTGTTATGAAGAAGAGCTCCAAAGAGAGCAGAGGCAAGCAGTGGCTCCCAGGGCAGCCTCGGTGTGCCATCAACTGCACTCCACCCCAGCGTCCTCACTGTGGAAACAGTCGTTCACACCCCAGTTGCTCTTTGGACAGTCAAAAATTGAATGTTCATTCCCTCTGCATTTTACATCATCAAGCCAAATTTGTCCAGTGCCTTTGGAAGATGAATTAAACAAACAAAGAAAGAAAAAACTGTTGGACAAAAGAAAGAGGAATATGCTTTTTTTTTTTTTTTTTTTTCCTAAGATACCCTTATGGATAGCAGATGTGCATTGGGTTGGAAATCAAGCTTTAGGCATGGTTCAAGCAGCACTTGACATGCAGCTCCCTCATCCCAAGGGAAATGAGCTGGGCCTTTGCAGCAATCCTTTTTGCTCTCCCACCACTTGTGTGGAGGACCTTGCTGTAGTGCTTTCTGGGTGTGTGTAACATCCCATGCCAGGCCTGGGGAGGTGGAAGGCTATTGTGAACTCACCTGCTGTGGCTGTGAAGGTGGAGACTGCACGGCTGTATCCCAGCATTCGGCAGACCACAGTGGCATCTTGGTTGTCCCAGTTATCATCACATATTGTTCCCCAGGACCCTTGATGGAAGACTTCCACACGTCCCCTTCTGCCCCCTCCCGCTATTCGTACAAGATGATTGAAGTTGCCTGACAGTTCAGAGGACAAGAAAATAACTCTACTGGTCATACAGGCATGAGAAAAAAAACACACTGAAAGATAGAAGCAGTGACCACCCAAACAGGACAAATGTTCCCATCTCCACAGCTGTAACCAGGTGAAACCAGAAGTTACAGGTAGCTCAAGTCTGAACAATTCAGTGCCCTCTCCTGGGTCAGGAGATACCAGGCTGCAGCTCCAAGCATGGACGCCTCAGTTCTGGTAGCCATGCTGTGGGTTAACCAGTGTTGGTCCTGGTCTCAGATAGCTTCAGTGCCACAAAGCAAGTGAGAGAAGTAATAAAAGTCCAGTACCTTCTCCCTTTTCACCTTTGCTCCCTTTCAAAAAAAAAAAAAAAAAAAAAAAAGCAAAAAAAAAACAAGCAAGCAAATATTTTACAGCTATTTTGGGGAAAATCCAGTTATTAACTTTTTTGAACAATTCGATGTGTCAGAGATATGAGGGCTCTGTCCCCTTGTGGAAGGGACCCCCTGAGGTGGCTAAGGGTATGTAAAAGCAGTACGGCAAGAAAAGTAGGATAACATACAGTAAAGTCTTCCTAATGTGTGACCCAAGAAAGGGGCTGCTTACAAAATCCTATCCACTCACTTGTGGGAAACATATCTTATTCCCACTACTACCAGTAAAATAACATCTCTGATAGCCTTTGGGCTCTCCAGAAGCAGGCATGGTGTCTTCCAAAGTACTTGCAGGAAAATCTACGTCATGGGGTTTGCTCTCCAGGCGCTGCCACAGAACAGCAGAAAGCCACTCCCAAAAGTCCTCCACATTTCTGTGTAGCATCCTGGTCTTGAGAGCAGGGGTGTTTGAAAAAACCAAATGAGCTCTTCCCCCAGAAGCTACTTCCACAAAGCACACATTGCTGTCTCCTTCTGGGGACTAGGAAATGGAACCCACCCAAGAGGGCAGTACCTAACCTGGGATCACCCCAGTTACACTTTTCCCCTCCTTCAGAGACAAAGCTCCAGAAGAGGAGTGCATGGAGGAGCACAACATAGGCTCTAATTTATTTTATTTCTGAGGACTCTCATACTGTTCTGTGTGAATAATTAAAAGAAAAATCATCTGGAGCACTGGCTGGTTCCCATGGCCTGCCATAACTATTGGTTTGGTTTTTTTTGTAACTGCAGGTCTTTGGGTTTTTGGAAGCATTCTATGATTGGAAGGGAGGGGGGTAAGGATGGGCAGTAATTTTGTGTCCTGCAATTAATGAGGTGTAGTTAAACAGCTCTGGTATTTCTGATTCTCTGTTCCTGACCACCACACTTATGCGGGATTTATCCCAGTGGTGTGGCATGCTGCAAGTTGTCTCTACAATGCAGAGGAACATGGATTGTTGCAGTTTTCTGTGAGATCGAGATGTGAGAAAATCTTATGCATCTGTTTACTTGCATGTCCTTTAGCACACCTCCCAAGGTGTAAATGTGTCACTGCACATTCATCTTCTGGGAAGACTGATCTGTCTGTTGCATTCCTCTGAAGGAGCTCTGTAAACATGCCCCAGGGCAGCTTGTGCCAGTCTGTGATGTACAGTCCCAAACCCGAATGCACCATCAGCTTCACAGACCCCACGGTAAACAGCCTTACCAGATAATCCACGGTCTCCCTTGGCTCCTTTTACTCCCGGTTCTCCTTTTGGACCTTGGCTGCCATAATCACCCTTGCTTCCTTTTTGACCAGTTAGGCCTGGGATGCCTGGGTGGAAAGCAAAAAAGTCATTGCGTTTATCTCTTCCCAAGGAAAGAATGTGATGAGCATTTCACATTGACGCAGAGAAGTGGAATGTTGCATCATCAGAATAAGTCATGCTGTCAAACAAGGGTTTACCTGGCATGCCGTATTCTCCCTTTGTTCCCTTTTGCCCTGGAACACCTAAGATCATCAAAACAAGCAAATAAAAATTTATAAGACAGAGATTTGTACATTTATAAAAGCTTATGTAAACTAATATTTATAATGGATTTCAACTCACCTGGTTTAGCTGTCTACACTATAGTCACCCATTTCTGAAGTGGGTGTTTTATACTCAGTACAGACAATAAAGAAAATACAGGCAGTAGAGAATTGACTTCTGAAGCAGATCAACTTCTGGTCATTTATTTCATACCCTGAACTCCACTGATGGGATAGAGACTCTCCCTCCAGGTGGGTGTTCACTGACCACATAGAGAGACTAGACATGTAAATTTAGGTGCATCAGACACGTACAAGCACATAATGTTGGGCCAGGTAACTCTCATCCCTATCATCCAGTTATCAATGAATGCAGAAATGTGCAGCACTTGGACCTTTGTCACCTCCTGATGGAGATGAGAGGTTGTGTGCACTATATGAATTCAGAGCTAAAAATGTTGATTCCAGAGAAATAAATACACCAGAATAGGCTTGTAGTGAAGAATGTCCCTTATCATTTGGATGCCTGGACAGAGAGGTGGACTTTTTCAGAAGAAGATCCAAGAAAAGGCCTAGGTTATGTGCTTGCTTCTGAAGATACCCCTTCCTGCAATGCTACAGAGGAGGCCAGGACAGATGCTTGCTGGCAAATGCCCTTCCCCATCAGATTTACAGCCAGTAAAAATTGTCTTTAGCTTCAGGGTGGGGAGGTTGTTTGATTCATCTTAAACTTCTACTTTGTGTGTGTGTGTTTTCTATTTATATAAAAATGCAGGCATCTCCTCCTCATGTATGTTACAGATGGTTGAAACCACCCCTCCAGTGAGTATCTACTCCCTTGCAGTATGGCAGAGGCCCAGGTCCACCATGACATCCCAGGATGTGTTGGGCCTCCAAGATCAGGACTCAACACATCTCCTCCTTGCTGTTGCAGATCCCTTTCCAGTGTCTGCACGATGTGTGTTGTTGACCCCAAACCTGGTTTATTCTCCTTTACCTGTTGTCCCTCTGTCTCCTTTTTCACCTCTGAGTCCTGCAGTGCCTGGTATTCCTAAAATTTAAAACAAATCAGTAAGGGTGAAGCCATCAGGCAGAGCAAGAGCAGAGTAGGATGTCAGTAAGTTACAGGTTTGAGTACTGTTGTACCTGGACTACCACTTGGCCCACTGTCCCCCTTCTCCCCTTTCTGACCAGGTCTGCCTTCAGCGCCAGGAATTCCCACAAGTCCAGGTTGTCCTATTACACCTTAAGGTTGAAAAAAAGCAGCACACGTGAAATGCAACACGACATATGAAAGGAAAAAAATAAAGATAACTCAATCACCAGCTCCTGTACTATGCAGATTGAGTTGACCCTATGAAGGCAAAACAAAAGCTGGATTTCTCTGAATTGCACCCCTCCCCTGGCAGTGCTAATCTTAGCGGCTCAGTGAGTGATGGTCTGGAGTGAAAGGCCATATGGGCCCAGGTCCTTGCAGACTGTCAGCCTTGAGAAGCACAAGTGCTTTCCTAAAAGTAACCAATTTCTGCCCTTGTGTGTGCACATGTCAGGAAGGAGGACATGGGTCTCCCCGGTACAGGACCCTTCTTTCCCTTTCATTCTCCTGCACAGTGAGTGGGGTCCAGATGAGACAGCCGAGGCTGCGGGATGTGTTTGCACAGTGCTGGCATAGTTTCTTCATCTGATCATCATCTTCTCTTACCCATGCTTGTAACTAACCTGGCTGCAATTTTCCTTGTCATGAATGATCATCTAAAAGAAATCGGTCTCATATCTCTAGAAGAAACTGCACATTCTGTATGGCTTACCTGCTTCTCCTTTCTGCCCAGGATGTCCAGGTTCCCCCTTGCTACCTGTAACAATATCCTAGCATCAGTGCTAACGAGGCTTAGCCAAACGCTTCAGCTAGGGCAGCCCTCCACCATGGCACACGTGTTGACAGTGGGTTGTGCTGTGTCCTCTGCACTTACCATTTAAACCTGGCAATCCTGGGACTCCCTGCTCTCCCTGAGGACCCATGGGTCCATGGGGCCCGGGGTCTCCCTTCCTGCCCATTTCGCCTTTCTGTCCTTGGAGACCTATCAAACAGCACAGCACACATGTATAAATTCAAAGGCACATTCATTGTCTCTGCAGCCAGTGGAGCACCTCTGTCTAGCTGCACCGGTAGCAGAATTTGGCCTTACACCTGCATTTACCATTTCATAAAGCTGTAGGGGGACAGGGCGGGATGGCACCTCAGAAATCTGAGCCACCGCCATCTCTGGCAGACTGGCCCGATGTTTGTCTGACCTGCTGTTAAAGGTTTGCAGTGGTGCTATGACACCTCCCCAGTCTATTCCCTAAATTGTCCCTACCACTAGAGTGGTTTTGTCTCTAGTTAAATATCCCTTATTGCAGTCCAAACCTTTCCCTTCGTGGAGATGGAGAACAGCATATTCAACTCCGGTGCTTCCAGGGACTTGCCAAATCTGCCCTTAGCCATCTCTTCTCTGAACAGGTGATCAGCATGCTCCAGAAGAGCTCAATTACTTGAAAGTACCTCATTTAAAAACTGACATCTCCTTCATCTTTCTGCTCCAGAATTATCCCAAAGTGCTCGTCTTTTGGTATTTATCCTACTTTCACTTTTCCCTTCTGGAGCAAGTTGTGCTAATGAGCACACTGGAGCATGTAGGATCTGATGGAAGATCTGAGGAAGCTCTCATCAACCTGTCCAACTGTCCTCCCTGGTCTGCACCACACACATCTGCTTTCTTTTGCTATTTTGCTTTCTTCTCCGGATGCAGCCCATGTGAGACCATGACTATCCCGGAGATGCCCACTAATGCATGCTACATGGGAGAAACAGTGTATAACTCTTCTACTTAAGGTGTATAAAAGTCAAGCTTATATAAAATACAAAGCTCTCAGAACTCGGTTTTACTAAAGTGAGGACTAACATCCACATGCTTGTGCATATAAATTATATCGTATTATTTTATACCATGAAAATCCTACTGCAAATGTCACTGCTTTAATGTGGGATGGGCTGGTAATTGAATACCTGTGGCCTTCATTAGATGAAGCTTATTCTATAAAGAGACTTCCATGGTTCAGAGTCAACATTTTGCATGTCCCCTTTTCCCATCCCTCCTTTGTGAGATTTGCTGGAGCATGACATGAAATTAAATCCCTTCATATCAGGTCAAGTGTCCTGTTCATCCAGCTCCTTCATTGACCAGCAAGCCATGCTTGGGGCTGCCTGGATTTCTATGAAATATCTGACTTACGAAGACTTCTTCTGGTGTTTTAAGGAGAAAGAGTTTAAACAGGAATAGATGTGACAACCTTAAAAATGTTGAGATAGTGAAGAAGTCTTACCTGTAAGCCCTATCTCTCCTTTTTCTCCTCTCACTCCTGGTTCACCGCTTAGACCCGCAGGACCAGGATCTCCTTTGCTCCCCTTCGCACCCTGCAGTCCATGTAAGCCTGCAAGGACAACACCACCTTTGCACTGGGTGCCATGGCTAGTGAATGCCAACAGCAGGCCATGCGGTTCAGCTGTGGGTATGAGCCAAACTCCACACTCTGTGTACTTGAGACTGGTGCTGGTGGCAGTGGGGAACTGGCCCACTGTGACTGGCTCACATTGACTTTTAAAATTAGACTTTTTCCATCTAAGTTTTGCTTTTGTTCACATTAGTTTTACATGGCTTATTCAACTCCAATGACATTCCTACTGACTTACACCTTGACTGAGGACAAGATTGCCTATAAAACTATCCATAAACTCACTTTATGTTCATCCACAGAAGTAATTCAGGTGTCAGAAAAGCCTTACCTTGGAATCCTCGGTCTCCTTTTGTCCCCGGTGGTCCCTGTATCCCTGAGATGTAAAATACATATATCAGCTGACACACATCATCTATTTGCAGTAATGGCTAAGAAGAGATTAATTTTTTAATCATCTTTTGTGCATGCATTCGGTCACCACTGAGGCCAATCTTCAGCTGGCAGGGACCAGCACAACCGCTTGAGTAAAGTCCATGGATCTCAGCTGAGTGTGTGGCTGGGCTGGGGCCAGCTGTCCTCCAGCCAAGCCCAGCTCATGGGGACCTTTGGGAAGATCTTTCCTGAAAATGCACTGAACAATTGGGCTCTGATATATAATAACGGTGCTTGGCGGGAGGTGCTCTTTCAATGTTGTAAGTGCAGCCAGGAAGATATGAAAACATGATTTTAAAAAATGTGTTAATTTTTTTTTCTTCAGAAAAGCTCATCAGTGTAGCCAAGAACTAGGGATGGATGAGATACAGACCTGATCTAACAAGGGTTGCATCTTAGATCATTATTATAAGGATCATAGAAATGCTGGTTTCTCTGGACATTGTGTAGTCCAACCTCCATTGTGGAGCCAACATTAAATCAGGACTTGCTGCATCCTCACAGTCTGGAGACATTTATCTCCTTCAGTGGGTGTAGTTCTACCCAAAACCCCAGGTGCCCAGGGAAGCAGCTTGTGCATAGTTGTGGAGTGGAGCACTTGCACCCAGCTCATTCCTGAGTCTGTTCAGTTGTTTCCCCAGGGACAGGGTGAGCAAGGTCCCAAATCTGCCACTGTTTGTAACACACAGTGTTCAGTTGGGGGCCTACAGAGCAGGGATTGAGAAGGTCTCCTTGAGTTGTCCTGGAATGAGCTGGACAGCAGTACTTGCTATGTCTGGGGCAGAAAGCCCAGCTCTCCGCTGGTCATGGGAGGCACATAAACCCCCTCAGAGGTCCTCTCTTGTCATGCATGGAGATTTGGGGAGGTTATTGCAGGTAATAACCAAGTACAGTTTCTCCATCACCCCTGAGCTTTTCTGGTAGGGCAGCAGTGAGGAGGCAGAGCCAAAATGCTCCTCTGTGGTGGTCACCGACCTGTGTGGGAGCACTTGGGCAAGCTGAGGCTCCCAGAGGATCAGTCAGAAGGTGCACCAGGTCTCCTCATGGCCAAGGCACTGCCTGTCTACACATTGGGTAGAATCTGGGTCTAGAGACTGAAATCCCAAATACTCACTTCAGGTCTCTTAGGGAAAAAAAGAGGAAGAGGAAAAGTTCCTTACAGCTCATTTACCTGGTGGGCCAGGATCTCCTTTGCGTCCAGGAGGCCCTGAAATAAATATTTAATAGATATTTTTCAGTAGTCAGAACTCAGTGGGGAACATACCAGTGTGGGGTTGATAGGCTTGAGGTCTGTGCTAAAGACACCACCCTTTCAGAAGGCACCCAGAGCCCAAGCCTACAAGTTATGTGAGGGAAGAGCAGCCTGGAGCCAAATGTACGGCTGCAGTGTGATCTGGGAGGGCTGCATAAGGCTGTGCTCCAGCTTCTCCAGGTGTGTCCAGCTCCCTGGACCAACTGACTGGTGCATCACTAACTGACAGAATGTCCAAATCTTGCCCTAGTTATTTTTTCATCTTAACTAGGATTTTGGCCCAGCTTTGCCAGATGTGCAGGGGAACCAGCTCTTCCCACTGTACAGCCAGCATGGAGAAATGGAGCCATACCTGGAACCAGGGTGAAGTTGTTCATCAGCATCATCAAGTTTGCATTGCTGCTTTTAATTATGGTGATTTCCTCTTCTAAGCTTCTCCTCCAGTTTTCTTCATGTCCCATATACTTCTCTGCGGACTTTCTCTCTAAAATCAGTTTGTCATCAAAGGAGCCTTCCAGAATATCTTCTATATAGGAGGCATTTTGTTCTTGAAGTTTCAATATCTCTCTCTGCATCTTAAACACTGAGGAAACAAAATGTCCATGCAATGAATATTCCCTGCCTTATCCAGCTGGGAAATGCCTATTTGGCAGAGCATCTCCTTGGCACCCGTGGAGGACACCTGGGGTTAAGCACCACCAGTGTTTGACCTGGGGAGGTGGTTTTCATGTGCCCGGTCTTTGCTGCAGCCAGGAGTGCAGCCGGGAGTGCTTTTGCAAATGCAAGGCACATATACAGGGAGGGGGAATGATTTCCTGAAGCAGCTGCTTTGACTTGCAGTGTACAGAGAAGCATCTGTGTTTCCTCGGAGGTTTCCTATCTGCATGCTCACCCCCACTTGCCCGTGCCACCCGAGAGCACCCAGTGAAGCTGCCTTTTGATGTCAAGCCCGCAGTCAGGCTGCAGCGTTACCTTTGTACACCAGCAGCCCCTGGCAGGCCGTCAGCAGCAGCAGGTAGATGCCGAGGGCCGTCCGAGAACAGCACATGGATGGCTTTCTTCGGCTTTGAGGCTCTAAAAATCAACAGTGGTAGGGTAGACTTCCTCTCACATCTCTCCTGCTACAAACTCTGCTCACTTCCAGGCATTTCAGGCTTGGCCACAATAAATTAGCAGTGCCTTGCAGCGACGGGGAGCAGCAAGGTCCCTCTGTGAGACTGCCAGGTCCTGCAGGCAAGGCAGGCTGCCTTCTTCTCACCCAGGCTTTGCACTGCAATTCCCTTGGCCACCTTTTCCTTAACCAATTTAACCAGCTCACTTCCATCAAGACTTAATCCAGCTATAACAGTATGAATGTGGTAGTTCCCCCCTTTCTGCATCAATAAACTCCCTGTTTCCGTCGCTTTTAGTTGTCCCAGGCTGTCATTCAAAGAGGGTTGCTCAAAGCACATGCCCTCTCCATCCAGAGTGCCGCATACATGTGATTCCAACAGTGATACATGTATGCATCAAAACAAATGAAAAATCAATAACAGACTGAACTGCAGAACAAATAAAACAAGTCTTAACAATTAAAACAAACCGTCACCAGCAAGTGTAAAAGAAATAAGTTGCTTTGTTGAATTTTGGCCTTTAGGGAGAAAAAAGTATTTCAGAAACATTAATAACTACTTCAGACATTCAGTAAGTTACCCTTAATTGAGTTTTTTTCAAAGCAATGTAATCAGAAGTTTAAAGTCTAAGTTTTAAAAGAGTACAATGACTTAATTAGTTTTACAATAGAATGGTTTAGTCAGCAGTGAAGTATTTATATTCAGCTAAAAATTAATAAACTTATTTTTTTAATTGGATCTGGTGATTTCAGTATCTTAACTATTAAGATATGAAAGTTTTACTTAGTGAAATTCGGCATTTTCTAAAACAGAAGAACTATTTTTTTTCTAATGCTTTTGGCTAGAAAGGACATTTTCACATATTCTCTTTTTAAATGGTAGTTAATTTACTAGCAAAATCACTGTAAAAAGCATTTAATATGCAGTACAAATACAATATTCCATTTTTAGGTCCTGCTTTCCTCATAGACTAGATAAAATCCATATCAATCCATTTAATAAAAAGAAACCTTACCACTTATCTGAAAGGTTGTGGTAACAGCTGAGCCAAACCCAGTCTTGTCTGAAATACTGTAAGTGTTCATATTACTCGAATTTCCATCTCCCTCCTGTCTGTCTTTAATTTTCATGACAAATTTCTTGTGGCCAACCTAAAGCCTTGTCAGATTATGAACAGTAAGGAACTGAAGGGACTTCCTATCTGCCTTCTGATTAGATATGCTTTCTGATATGCTTTTCCTATCTGTGCAGTTTTTATAGACTTGTGAGAACTCTGATGTGGTAATTTGAACAGTTCCTCAAAAAATCCCACAGCTAAGATGTTCAGTTGCTCTTGTGTGATCACTTGGGGACATGGTGTCCATGAAACCTCGGGCAGGATCCTGCAAAAGGTTCAACCCTGAGTTATTCAATACTTCTTCATTTTAGCTGGCTTAGGCATGAGGTGGACATTTTGCTCCTAACACAAGTAAACCTCCTCATGTAACCAAGAAGATCCCATGTCCAGTGTTAACTTGGAGACCCATCCCATGGGAGGGGAGGTGGAGCACTGCATGGTAGTGAAAACCACATCAACTTGCACCAAGATGATAACTCAGTGATGGTGCATGACTGAAGTGCAAGGAGGAAAAGAGTCAGGAGGAATTGTAAGGACAAGTGAATCGTGGTGGGATGGGGGATGCTGAAGCCCAAATGGGTTTGGGATGTAATGGAGAAGAGACACTTGCAACCTCCTTGCCAAGGCTCTCTCTAGCTCCTGCTTCCTCCCTGACACATTTTCTACATCCACGGGCACAATTCCTACCATCTCACCACTTTGCTCACATCCTGTAAAACTCACCCCTGCAGACCTTGCCGTGGCATTTGCCATTTTGGCATCACTATTTGTGCTGGGGTTGATTTTGATTTTGCAAAGCAAAGTGACTCACCCGAGCCTGCAGGCAAGAGCCGTCGGTAGGCGCTGGGCAGAGCCCTCCGCACCCATGCTGCTGCCGCCACGTGCTGCTCTCTCCAAGGCTCAGGGCAGTCCCCATCACATGGTCTTCTGCTGGGCTGAGGGTCTGTGCTCATCTGCGGGGCTGCTGGGTCCTCACCGCTTTGTGTGGCCATGGAAGAAAGTGCAGCATAAAGCTTCAGGTAGACCTGAGCTGGAAATCCACAGTCTTGACGGCCCAGTGAAGAATAAAGCCCTCTGTTCTACACCTGACGTATAGATCTCTTCAAGGCTTAAACCAAAAATATGTGGGGATTTTTAAATCCACTTCTGTGTTCTCCTTTCAAATCTGCTTGTGCAGCTGTGACCTGGTTTGGTACCAGTGGGGAGGAAGAGGAATCCTCCATCATCATATATCCTGATACACACTGTGTAAGAACTGTGATAATTTGCTTTGTTGTGAAGGGCTCAGATACCCCCTTGAATTAAGGTGGCTTGAGAGGTTACCACCAGTCAGCTGAGCCACAATACCTGCCTGTGCATTCTATTACTTCGTGGCATCGCTTCCCCACTGGTGGAGTGGGGAGGCGATGCCAGCCCATTTCTGATGGTTTGGGTGGTTCAGCTGACCACTCTGCACAAGCCTGAAGCCACCTACTCCTGCTGGGCCAGGTGATGAGCTGGGCATGACTGCATTTGTGTTGCCAAGTGGATGTTTACAGGGATGGATGTGATTCAGGTGCTCACAAAGAGCAGATTTACAGCTTTACATTTCTAGGTAAATCCATTTTACTTCAAAAGCATTAAGAAGAAGCTGGCTGCTGCAGTTTTCAAAAGCCCTTCTAAAAGGCATAAGGTGCAATGAGATCTCTGTGCCCTCTTTCCCTGAGAAAGCAGCTCAGGGGTATGTTTTCCCACCTCTCACGGTCATGTTGTGGCCATGCCATTCTCAATGGCCCAGGGGGCATGGGTGCAAAAGCAGGGGTAGAGACGCTCAGTTTTGACAGTCCTGATCTGCACTGCTTCAGTGTTCAAAGTCCGATTCTCCACTCAGCCATTTTGAGAAGTTCAATAGCGAAATCATGATCCCACCCAAATTTTCCCACCAGCTGCGATTGTCTGCCCAGCTGATCAAACTTAATTCTCCCCTTATTTCTAGTTGATGTAGCCCTGTGAAGCTCTGTGTGCTGCCACATTCCCATCAGTCAGGTAAGCATCTGACCGCCTGGGAGCATCGCGGTATGTTTCCATCTGGATGTCAGCCTCTGCAAACAGGCAGCAGATTTCCCTGTGCATGTGGCGCCGGGGGTCGCGGCCACGCCACGAATGTCAGAGATCATGTACTGACACGCTCGCTCAGCTTTTGCGTGTGCTCACTGCTGTTGCCACCACCCTGCTTTCTGCTGTCTTTCATTTCTCGCTGCACCATCACTGACAGCAGCAATAAATTGACTCTGATTGTGCAATCTAGGTTACTAAATCAGGAAAGAAAAAAAAGAAAAGAAACTGCTGATTCAGTGCTGTCTCCCTAGGTTGAACGTTTGCTGAAACAATGGGATTATTAATAGAATAGCAGTTTCCAGCACATTACAGAGCATGTCTGCTGGGCCACCAGCCTCACACTTCAGGCTCTCTGCTACGAAGTCCTGGTCCCTCTCCCTCCTGCTGCTCAACCTGCCTTCCCTGAAAATGCTCTGCCAACATCCTCAGGGAAGAGCCTGAGGTCCTCTAGCTCATGCTTTCTCTTCCTACACTCTGACATTGGTGACTTGTGCCAGGCAGAAGGTGCTCCTCATGCTCTCGTTGCAGAGGTGCACCACATCTGAACCAAGTTTAATAAACAGGCTGCAGTCACCTTAAATTCACAAGCCTGGAGGTAACTGCTGGTGGAGGGATGTGTCTGGTCCCTGGCCATGCCTGCTACCTTTCTTATCTCCTTTCATCACTATTGTCAACTGCAGGCATTTGCCACCACCAAAAGCTCATGCAGAGCAAAGAGATGTAACACCAAACTCCAACCTGGCAGCTAAACACAGTGGTCCCCAGCAGTGATACTGCCAGGGAGCTTGGACAGATGTTAGTCTCCTCGGGATAAGCATTTATCCTGAAAGAACTGAATTTGTGATTTTTAAAAAGTTGTTTCTTTTTTCCCAAATGAGAAGATATTCTAGATCAGAGGTGTTTCTCCGTTTACCAACAAGATGGTAATGTTTCCAAACTCATCTATTTGATTGCAGACTGTCTTAGACACAAATGGGCAGAGTCCATTCAGCTTTTGTGCCCCCCAAGGATGAGGAAGAGACCAGGTGGCAGCACAAACAGATGCCATGTCGGGTAAGCCAGGGCAGCAACCTCCACCATTTCTGCTGTTGGTTCTAGGCTGAAGTGAGTGGCAGCCAGAAAATGTGACAGTCTGCCCCCTACCCCACGCTTGCACTCATGTTTCTGTGGATGGGCTTCAAAAAACCAAAAGGTAACCTTACCCAGAGATCACACTGCTCTCCCTCAGAAACAAGCAGCCGTGGTTTGACCTTTGCACACCACAAAGCCACCAGTGACCAGAGGTGTACAACTGCCTTTGCAGTGGAGGTTTGTTTGTAAACTAGCTTGGTGGGATTTTTTCATTTTTTTACATGATTTTTCAGTCTTTTCTCTTTTTGAAATGAACAAAGTTAGTGAATTTTGTCAGTTCTTGTGGCAGATTGATCCTGGCCATCAGCCAAACAACCCTCCAGCTACTCACTCAGTTCCCTCTCCCAAAGGGTGGGGAGAAAATGAAAGGTGAGAAGAGTCACAGGTCAATATAATGACAGTTTAATAGGGAAAGCAAAAGCTGCACTTGCAAGCAAAGCAGAAAGAGGAATTCATTCGCTACTTCGCATCAGCAGACAGATAGGCAACCACTTCCTGGGAAACAGGGCCTCAGTACGCGTGATGGTTTTTTGGGCTGACAAATGCACTAACCACAAACATCCCTCCTTCCACCTTCTTTCCATGAACTTTTATTGCCAAGTTTGACGTCATATGGTGTGAAATATCTCCATGTCCTGTTTGGGTCAACTGCCCTGGCTTTGTCCCCTCCCAGATTCTGCCGCTCCAGCCTACTCACAGCCTTGATGCTGTGCAAGCACTGCTCACTAATAGCCAAAACATCAGTGTGTAATCAACACTGGTTTAGCCACAAATCCAAAACGCAACAACCATACTGTGAGAAAAGTTACCTCCATCCCAGTCAGATCCAGTACAGCTTTCCACTATGATGGTGTTTATGCTAAAATGCCTTGTTCTGCCCGAGGAAGGACCAAGGACTTTGGTGGTTAGGTACATCGGGAGGCATTGCTGAATTCAGGGGATGCCAACGCAGGTTGTGAGTGATCTGGCCACCAGCTAGGTGCCAGATCTGGGGTCTCCCTGGAGAGTGTCCCACTGACTGCCCGGCTCAGCCCTGGTCAGCATCCCCTGAAAAAAAAGTGGATCCAGCTCTAAGGGCAAGGAATGATGTGGTATGTGGAGAGTTTCCATGCAGAAGAGAGACTGAGTCCAACACACAAGATCTAAACAACTGTGTTTTGTGCCAGGGCATTAAAGCAAAGCTTGAGCCTGGACCCATATGGGACCAGGGGCCTTGTTGTGAAGCCCCCCATGTCCTTGCATGCCCAGAGCTGTGCTCGGGGGGTCGGGATGCTGTGGTAGCACCTGGGCACTTCTGGGACCACAGACAAACACTTGTGCTAAAGCAATAAAATCCCCAGCACTGCCTGGCTGACATTTCTCCTTTCTAGCTTGATGTGTTGCTTGGCTTTGTTGTAGAGATTGAAACCAGATTTTCTTTCCCTTCTATGAGTTATGTTAATTTGTGTTTCATCAGAACTTGCCTCTTCTCCTACTTTTTTTTTTTTTTCCTCTCCTTTAGGCTGGATCCAGCTGCACCATGAATTCAAGGAACCACCTGCAAAATATTTTAATGACTTCAACCTGCTCTTTGAGGTGAATTAATACCAGGGCAGCCTCCACAGCATGGTGAAATAGTCAGGCTTGGCTGAGCAGGCCACCCTCAAAGCCAAAAAATATGTTCTGCAAGGCACCCGCTTCTGACAGGCAACTCTGTGTTTAAGGTCCCTGTACTGTGTCTTGATCCTCACCTTGAAGACTGTTGTCCCCTATTCAGGTAAGACCTGATCCAAGAGATTGGATGTA